AGGTTTGGAATTCTGGTTTGAGGTTGCTTCATTTTTACACATTGATGAAATGAGAATTACTCGCCTACTGTTCTTTGGCAAAAAAGTATCAGATCACGAAAAATATGCTGCTGTTGAAAATTTTGGATTTGTGGGCAAGGAACTCTTGAGTTTTCTTTTTCTCCAATGTGCCAGCTAGAATTAGGTTTTTCTTAGCTAATCCCCTGACAAGTGGTGCACTGGTAATGAATTTTTCTGTTGTTATATTACACCCAGAACCCTGTAAACATTATTTGAACTTATTTTCTGCATTTTTTTGTGATTTTAAATTTCTGCTGTGGTTCTCTCACCAAAGGGCACTTGCCTAAAGCTTGGATCTTGGCATCCAGGGAATTCTCCTTTATATACATATTTTCTCCCCATGTCACCAACATAGAGTACCTTACAATCTATATTGCATCTCATTGGAGGCTGAGAATAAGGAGTGTTGCACCAAAGTTTACTAGTATGCTCACAGCTGAGAAGAAATTCAGACCCAGTGCCAGAATCAGCGCTCTAGTCACTTTTTAAACTTGGATCTCATTAAAAGTAGCACTTATCTCTGTGCTATACACAGCCTGACAAAATTCAGACTGTGATATGATTTCAGGGGACTTACATTTATTTCAAATATATGGGTTAGTTGAGATGTTCTATCCTAAAACCACAACACCTTCTGAGTCTTGTGTGTCCAGGGCTTTCTCGCTAAGCAGGAAAATAATTCACATGCAGAAAGGAAGTATCCTATTGTTGGTGGAGAATAGGAAACGTTTGCAGCAAGCTCAGACTTTTGAAACATGCCCTTCAGCTGTAACAGTTCTGAAAAATCTTATTCACTTCTGATCACATATTGTGATGCTGCTGCTACACAGTAAAACAAGCACAAAAGCTTTATTATATCTGTATAAGAAAACCCAAAATCTGCTTCCCGAAACCTCAATTTGCATCCGCATTTGAATCCATCAGACTGCAGAAGCCGACTGGTTTAATGTCCTTCCTTCTCCCGCTATTCAACGCTAGTAAATATTCCTTGGAAGAAGTTTGGATATTCTGCTTTTGCAGACTACAATGAAGTTTCGTTTTTGGCCTAGCTTTGTTCTTTTTTTATTTGGCTGAGTGCCAGGAAAGTTTCAAAAATGCACCCATTGGTGTTATATCTCATGGGCTAATCTAGCCCTAATAAGGACAGACAAGGTCAAGGCCAAGGTCAGCCAATGTCACTTTTCCCCGAGGTAGCTGGTTCTAAGCTATGGATGCGGTGTCTAACTGTGGCTAACTGTCATGTAAATAATAATATCTTATTTTGATAAAACCTGCCCTGGGAGGACAGTTATGAGCATTGTGAAAGACACACACAATTCTTTTATCTACAGTAGAATTGTTCTTAAAAAAAAATAACCCCCAGTTTGGATCTGCATTGCCAACACCTGCCAACAGGATACTTTAAGTAGCTTACATATCCTTTTTTGGAAAAAAAAGGAAAATTCACTCCATGTTTCCTTATGCTTTTTTTATTCACAGAATTCATTCTTTGTAGCCTGTCTGCCAGCTGGAAGGATAAATGAATTGGGATCCTTGTCCATCAGTGAGTCCATTCCTGCAATTCTTAGAGATGAAGTACTTCTTATTTCAACTTCCGAGTTCACAGTGAAAATCAATATGTTGCTCCATTTGTTCTGATGTATCACCTTGCCTTCCATTTATCTAAACCTCAACACCCTAAGGAGATTCAATTACATGATCTTTATGTTCCTAGTGTAATGAAAAATTAATACAAACTGGCACAGGAATAAGCAGTTTTACATGAACGACGAGTGTGCAGCGGACCCTAAACAAACTAATAAGATAAACAGAGAGGCACCCAAGTCAAGAAGAAAAATAATTTTAGGAGGGAGGGAGATTTCCAGGGATTCTTGTTTGATTTGGGATACATCCTCTCAACAGATACTCTTGAAATATTATTTATGGAGACATGGAGTATCAATATAACATGGTCATGATACGTTGATAAAATAAATCCAGGCTATACAAGAACAAAATGAGCTCATATGTAAGAGCTACAATCCCCCCAAGAAAAATGATAGAAGTTGTACTGGGCCACATGAATTCAGGCACTGCCCCCATCAGTCCTACCTTCCATTCGCACTTTTGCCAAACCCATGATGCTTCTGAGGAAGAGGAAGAGTCCATAGAGAGAACACATATGCATTAGCCTGGCAGATCAGAGGGGCTACAACTGAACCAGAAGGGGTGGTGGGCAAAGGAAACAAGAAGGAATAAAAGGTGGTCTGTGAGAAACTTTAGGGCACCAGAGCAACCAAGAGAAGAAGATGATAGCTGGATGGAGCAAGGGGACAACAGGCTGCTTCACACTCAACCATAAGGAGGTTTAGTTTGGTCAGAATCAAGTATACACTTCCAGAGCTAATGCTAAATACATTGTTGTTGTTGTTTAGTTGTGTCTGACTCCTGCAATTTGGTCAAACTCAGTAGCTTCAAGAACACTGTCCAGCCATCTTGTCCTCTGTCATCCCCTTCTCCTTGTGCCCTCAATCTTTCCCAACATCAGGGTCTTTTCCAGGGAGTCTTCTCTTCTCATGAGGTGGCCAAAGTATTGGAGCCTCAGCTTCAGGATCTGTCCTTCCAGTGAGCCCTCAGGGCTGATTTCCTTCAGAATGTATAGGTTTGTTTTTCTTGCAGTCCATGGGACTCTCAAGAGTATCCTCCAGCACCATAATTCAAAAGCATCCATTCTTCGGTGATCAGCCTTCTTTATGGTCCAGCTCTCACTTCCATACATCACTACTGGGAAAACCATAGCTTTACATTACTTCTGGTAAATGAGCCACCATTGCTGCTAGAGGGCTGTGAAAATTTGTGTATTGGGCTTTTTAGACTCTTCGACCCATCTACGAACTGAAACCAAATTGGTTGCCAGAAGTGGGGTCTCCCCTGCAACTTTCCCACCCCACTGTACAAGATAGTCAGCAGGGTGAGGATTCTTGCCTGCACTAAGACACAATGACCAGGAAGCAAGCTAGATGCAAGAATGGTAAGACAAGTCTTGTATTACACACCTGCATTTTCAAGGGCAATGCAACCTCTTCCATCCAACAGTGGCTGAATGTGAATTCCTCAGCCGGCTCTAATGACCATGGGCATCACTGCCTGGCTTTAATGAAGCTTCAATTTATTTGCATATCTAGTCTTTGCTTCCTCTAGATATCAGTCCAGGACCCCCCACAACCTTGTTAGTATGAGCCCAGAGGGTGACAGGGAGAGAGGAAAAGAGAGTGGGGAGGAGTCATCTCTGTACTGATGGCACTGAACTCAAAATCCCTGGATGACCTTCCCCAGTGGTTTCATGTTGAAATAAGTGCTTTTGGGATCCCTCCCATGGCAAAACCCAAGATGTCAATCAGGAATTCCCCAAGTGCCACCTTCTGGAACTGATTTTCTACAAAGGAAAGGACTGAAGTCATGATAGCACCATTCTCCCAACGTCCAACCCCCATGAGACAGCCCAGCAGATACAGTGGTCAATAGTATTGAAAGCTACTGAGATGTCCTGCAGAAACAATACAGGTGCACACTCGCCTTGTCAAATTCCCAGAAAACCTCATCCACCAAGACAGGCAAGGCTGTTTCAGTTCCTAGACAAGGCAAAAACAGAATAATCTGAACAATCCACCTCATCCAGGAAACCATGGAGTGAAGAGGCCACCAAATGGCAAGATCCAATGAAATTAAAGTATTTTCAAACACTCCAGTTGAAAATAATGGAATCTGAGAGTGCTAACTGTGGCTAGATTATTCATAATGGTGCTCCCCTATAGAATCATAGAATGGTAGAGGTGAAATCTAGTTCAACCCCTTGCAAGGCAGGAATCTCAGCTCAAGAATCCATGACAGGTGGCTCTCCCACCTCTGCTTTGTGCTTTTCTGAGGATCCTAGGCTTTTGTTCTTAAGGAGCTTGAGAACTATGCAACTGAAAGGTAGTAGTGATGTGTTGAAGAGATAAACAAGCACACGGAAATTTTTACCTACCCTTAAGTCAGTGAGATGGCAATCAGTTTTTAGCTTTTACGTCCATGTGCCACTTACTGTTGAAATTGGAATATGGGTGGAGTCTAAATTGCAGAGCCAGAGTGTTACACCAGATGGAGCTGGGATGGCAACCAGATGGTGCTGAACTACCACTCCTGTAATCACTGACCAATGACTGAACATGCTGGCTAGGGCTTATCAGAATTTAATGCATTGCTAATCTGATGCTGAAATCCCCAAATCAGTCCGCACTACACGTTTTGTTGCTAATGAAAAGTAACACGCTGCTTTTTTTGTGTTGGTATTTAGCTATGCAATAAAAATATTCATGTTCTGAAATAGAATTGATTCATTGACTTTTTCAGCATGATTATTTTAAATTAGCTTATTTTTATTAGCTTCTTACAGAAAACCTCAGAGCATACACAAATTGGTTAAAATGCTTACTACCGCAGATTGTTTGGGATTGATCCAAATGTGAAAGATTGGAAATATAGCTCTCATTTCTCTTGGGCATGGTCCTGCATCCTGTTGCTTGAGCAAAGCCTCCATGAAAGAGAGTTTTAGCAACTCAGCAAGAGGCTTGCTTGTACAAGGACTGCAGTGTCAGGCCAGTACTTAGTGCTAATTAAATAAGTACACAATGCTTGAGATTTATTGCCTGGTTGAGAAGAATTTACACAAATTTAAGGAACAGCTCGCTCTTTGGGACTGTGCCACGTGCTAATCTACATCCAATTCCAATTTCCATATTTCTTTTTCTCTCCTCTGCAGATCCTAGAATCCAAAAACCAATACCCTTGCCAGAAGGCATTCCACCCCCCCCCACCTCCCTCAGAGCCAAGGTGGCTCATATTTACTCATCAGGAGGAGGCTGATGATTAACATTTATGTCAAACTTTTCTTCCAAAACAGGAGCTGAAAGCAAGTTATAATAAAGTGGTAGTCTCCTTGTGGCAACCTGTATGACTATTGTGGAAGGATGGAAGATGCCGTCAGACATTACCCTTGAGCACTGATACAGGCCCATTTGCCACATAGCTTGTCTGAAAAACTGACTCAGGTTTGGAGGTTCTAGCAGGGGAGCGCAGCTGTCATATATCCTTGACCGAAGAATGGTACACTCCTTCTATCTGGGATGGTTGCCATCTTCCACTGAGCGCACAGCTTCAGGAGAAACACACATGGAGTGGTGAGAGAGGAAGGGGACACCCGCCTAGCCAGCCAGATCAGCCAAATCAACCCTGGCAATTAATGGGGTGACAAATGTCGCAGCCAGATCACCCTCACATCCAGAGAAATGAGAGCTATATTTCCAATCTGGCTGGCTAGGCGGGTGTCCCCTTCCTCCATCACCGCTCCATGTGCATCCCTCCCGAATCTGCATGCTCGGTGGAAGAAGACGACCATCCCAGATAGAAGGAGTGTACCATTCTTCGGTCAAGAGTGTACGATAGCTGTGCTCCCCTGCTAGAACCTCCAAACAAGTTCAAGGTCTATTTGTAGGAGAAACTGACTCAGGTCACCCAGCTTACTACAGAGCATGCCAAACCTGATGTTTTTGCTACAGTTTGGTCCAAACTTTTCTCATTCATCAATGACTCAATGGAGGGATTGCTTCCATCTACTTCTCAGCTGCCCCACTGGAAAGATTCTGCTCAGTGACAAACACACTCTTGCATTATAGTCCTCCTGATCTCCTTCCACTCATTTCTCCCCAACCTTACTTCAGGTGATTTTTCAATGGTAAAACCTGACCTCTGAGTGAAAATTGTTATTATTATAAGACATCTGAAGGCAAGGGGGAGGCGAGCCACTGTTCTGTTATCATGTTTGGATTGTACGTCTGATTTGGCAAAAACTCCCCTGGAAAGGTTGATTTATGGAGCAACGGGTCTGGGAAAATTAATGAGCAGACGCTTAGACTCTATCTCATCGGAACTGTCGAAATGGCACCGGCCGTTTGAATAGGACTTTTGGATCAGCATGGAAGTCCACACAGAAACATAATAATGCTTGCTTCAACTCACCTGTGGAAACAATTCAGAGGTTATTAAGAAGAAAAACGATAACAACAAGAAGATTGGAAGATGGGACTTGTGAACATTAAAGCAGCAGAAATATGAGATGATTGGACCCTTACTGAACTCGAAGCATGTGTACCCACAAGAAAAATTTAAAAAATTCGACAAAATATTTGGATTTTATGATATGTATTGGTATAATTTGGATTAACTAATGTGATATGATTGGATTGTAAATGGAAAACTTAATAAAAATTATTTCAAAAAACAAAAAAGACATCTGAAGACAGCCATGCATAGGGAAGTTTTAAAAAAAATGTTTAATGTTTTATTATGTTTTTGCATATGCTGGAAGCTGCCCAGAGTGGCTGAGCTCAGTGGGTGGGGTGTGAAAACTGCTGGGACACCTTTGTTGTTGCTGTCCAGTTCTGAACATTTTGCCTGATTCCTCAACTTCTGAATCATGACTCCTGAATGCTGTGGCTGCTGCCAAGCCTATATAAAGATGCCTTTCTTACTTACATGATTACATACGAGGGGAAAATCCTTCATCCTGCTCCACCCTCCCGAGGCATGTAAGCTGCTACTGTAAGCGGGACATCCATGTCTTAGACGAAAGTCTAGGTGAGTTGATGGGAACTGTGAGGCTGAGGACACAAGGCAGAAAATGAAGGCTTGTGTCCAATGTGAGAAAACCATATTCTCTGTTGGGCTTGTACCAATGCTCCAAGAAAGAAGGGAACTCAAATGTCAATTTGTAAAAATGTTACATGGAAAAAAAAAATATGAGGCATTACACTTCTGTAAAACAAGAAAATCCTTAATAAAATATTTTTTTTTAAAAATGTCAATCCTTCCATCACTTCCATCACGATTAGGCATTCATATTGATTAGTTGGGCTTTCAAAGAAATTTCATAGCACTTTCTATTTACATTTATGTTTATTGATATTTTGGAATGTTCTATCATTCCAAGGGTTTTCTGGGTTTACCAGTAACACAGTTTTACAGCCCTTTTAAAGATTCCTTTAATGTGCGGTATATTTCAGCTATAGGTGTTTAACCACCACCAAAGGTGTAAACTGTCATTGCACGATTTCCTTTAAAATATTTATTGCCCTTCTTAGTAAATCACTGATATTTTTGCATCTTCAGTGCTAGGACCAGGCTGCCATACAGATTTAACTTAAGGCATCACTTTCCTCCGAATCAGATTACACATTAACAGAGAGCCTGACTGAGAACTCTGCCAGTTCTATGTACTTATTTTAAATTAAGCAAATAATGTATAATTCATAAATGACGTGCTATGTACATCTTTGTAGAAAGAATAACCTGCATGTTATGATTTATTTATACTGATAGCAAAGAGCTAAATATGTCTAAATAATAGTTCTCTGGAACGTGTTCAGAATTTTATGATACAAACACTGGAGCAATTGAAAATGCAGACTGTGGCAAAAATCACTCTTGTATGACTTGTTTAGTGCCAACACATCATCATCAACAACAAAAAATCTGAAATGGATCTTAGCCAAAACGAAGTTCTTATAATTTAGTGGAAGTCTTATATTATTCAGCATATTTAAAATGCAAAATTCTATCCCCTCTCTGTCTCTGTGGCGGAAAGAATACATACAGCCCATATCAGCTTGAGATGTACAAAGGAAACTGAAGTCCAGTCCAGTGCTTACCAGGCAGCTAGGGCAATTCAATCAGTCTGCAATCTGCTGATATGGAAGCATCTGGTTCTATAAAGGAAACCCTCTCAGGCCTGCTTGTTAAATGACATTTTGAACTTAGGCTCTAATGCCAGAGAACAAAAAAAAGGAAATAAATAAAAATGTGCTTCTTGCACTGCATAAAAAGGACATACCAGTATATAACTCTTGACGTTTTCCTTCAAAATACATGCAAAAGATGATTAGGAAAGGTTTTGTGGATGTTGATGTATCTGGAAAGGGCAGGCTGAGAGTTACAGATGTATTTTCTGCTCATATTTGCCATGGAATGTAGTTTGGTTTAGTTTATGGCAGAGATGGGGGAGAAATGTGATTTCCTTCTCATTTAAAGGTGAACTTAACCCGTACACATTTCCCGAAGCTATAAATTGATGGTTCTGTTTGTCTTAGTGGATGCCTCGATTTATATTTTGTATTTGAAATTGCTCGTGTTCGTATGCTTCTGTCATGGCCTTTGGCTAGCGCAATAAACTTACTGAACTGAACATAGCATACAAGTCTTTTCAAAACAGCAGCGTACGTTAACCAAGAATAAGAAAGACATACATGGCAAAATATCCTTGGGCCCATGCTATCACTTCTAAAGTCACAACGTTTTGTAGGCATCAGGCAGCTCAGATTTTAACTCATTTGACTGATGGAGTATTTGCTTTCGTTATATAATTCCCTATATCCGGATTTTCTTGTAATAAATTTAAGTTGTACAGTATTGGTAACTGCCTTAATATTTTCAGGTAGGATGCTCTCATGCCCTGCCCCTGCCTGAAACTGGATATTTCCTGTCTCTTTCGAAGCAGATATATTGCGTGCTCCTTGCACAATATCTGGTGAAGTACTATCGTATGTGTATGTCTCAGATTGACTAGCTGTCTTCTGCTTTTTGAAGGAGTTGCGGATATCCATAGCCAAACAAATAAAAACAGCTCTGCTTCTTTGCTTGTTCTTTCTCTAGCAACCTTATATAGAAAACCCTTGTGCATTTCTTTCAACTGTCAACCAATCAAAACAAGAGCATTAAGCTTCTGTTTCCCCAGGAAATGATTTTCGGTACACATCTCCTGAGAACCCTGTCAGTACTTTAGGTTTCTATTCTGCTGGGTTACTTTTGGTTTCTGTTCTTGACACCCTCCTCTCCCAAAAGCAGGGTCAGGCGCAGCTGCACTGCAAGCTGCTCGCCTCCTTTGTTTACATTTCTAGGATTTCCCAATCATGTAAGATTTACAGCAGCAGCATCATTAGGACACAGGAACGTGGGTGGTGCTGTGGGTTAAACCACAGAGCCTAGGACTTGCTGATCAGAAGGTCGGCGGTTCGAATCCCCGTGACAGGGTGAGCTCCCGTTGTTCGGTCCCTGCTCCTGCCAACCTAGCAGTTTGAAAGCACGTCAAAGTGCAAGTAAATAAATAGGTACCGCTCCGGCGGGAAGGTAAATGGCGTTTCCATGCGCTGCTCTGGTTCGCCAGAAGCGGCTTAGTCATGCTGGCCACATGACCCGGAAGCTCTACGCCGGCTCCCTCGGCCAATAAAGCGAGATGAGCGCCGCAACCCCAGAATCGGTCACGACTGGACCTAATGGTCAGGGGTCCCTTCACCTTTACCTTTAGTAGCATTCACACCAGCTGCTTGCTGACCCAGGAAGGCTCTCCTGACAGCCACTCTTAATCGGAGTGGTCTGAGAGATCACTGCAAACCTCTTGTTGACTAGATGCATGCAGCGCCAACCTGAGACCTTTTGGTGCCTGAGGCAAGACGTGCCACACAGATGCCTTCTCCCTCGCCCTGGGTGGGAGTTAGGCCAGCAGCAACGCATCTCCTCTGCAGGAACGCCCCCTTTTCACTGAGACTTCTTCCAAAAAGTGGGTGTTGCTGCTGTTGACTCTGGCTTCAGCTTTCAGTGGCACCGCCAAGGCCAGATCAGGATCTTCTGCCCACTGTGGAGAATGCCACCTGAGGCAAGTTGCCTCAGATTGCCTCATTGGTGCGCTGGCCATATTAGGGCCACATAGCTTAGGGGCTGCGGGGCATAACATATGGTGCACCTTTCTAGCCACTTTCTACCCATTCGAATTTGCCGCCTGAGGCAGCTGCCTCACTTTGCCTCATGGTAGGGCCGGCCCTGGATGGATGTATGGATGTATGTGTATGTCTTTGTGTATTAAAATAATAAGTATGTAAGCAAATACATACATACATACATGCATACATACATACATACATGCATGCATGCATACATACATTTAGGATTAGCAGGGCACCCCTTGCCCTCCCTGCAGACACACAGGTTTTTATGTGAGGTCACACTGGAGCTTTTATGGGATCCTCTGCTCACTGCAGGCCTTCAGACCCTCCAAGTGTCCCTATTGACCAGAAACAGTCCCAGATTTACAGAAGTCATCCTGGTTTCTGCTTTGATCCTGGAATGTCCTGCTTTTCCTATGGACGTCCCTATTCTCATTGAAATGATGGAGGGGATGACATTATCTGACCCTTGAGCCGTCTGAAGGCAGCCCTATATTGGGAAGTTTTTCGATGTTTAATGCTTTATTATGTTTTTATATACGTTGGAAAACCCCCAGAGTGGCTGGGGCAACCCAGTCAGATGGTGGGGTAGAAATAGTAAAATTATCATTATATGGAATAGGATATCCCTATTTTCATTGGAGAAATGTTGGAGGGTATGGACCTTGTCTCTTTGGCAGCCAACACAGTGCAAGCATCAGCAACTGCAACTGAAAATCAATATATTACACGCATGAAAATAATTTAAGCTCAAATGCTAGGTACTTTAGACTCTCACCCTGCTTGTGCATATGTCTGAGTTATAATATATTGTCTTCAACCTTCCTTTAAAAAATCTGCTTCCTCCCCCACCCCCACCTGATTAATCTGGTTAACATCTTGTTAGGAATATTTGAGAGGAAGGCACAAAACAAACCAAGGGAGTTTCACTGTTTTAGTATTTTATTACAGATAATAGCAACCCCATCGGACTGGGTTATTTGAAAACAGATCTGGCCTCAGGACACCTTATCTAGTCAGGTAATTTGATTCCATATGTATTTTGTTAATAATGCATATTCATGATCACATACTGAAGAAGAATCAGCCACTGCGGTGTAAAGGAAAGTTTTCTGTCATTTTTTGACTCAAGGGCACTAGAATGCTGTCATGTAAAGTTTGCTTCAATGGCTCCGTATTTTGTTTGTGTGCTTGTTAACTTCTTTGTTCCATATACTTTTTGCTTATTTTCTGTGGAATAACAAGTGCATACGTGGCTGTTAAAAACACAAACAGTAATGAGGAGAGCTCTATGCAAATGTATGCTGGAAAACCTCATCAGTATTGCAGGAGGGGAAAAGATACAGATATTATATTCCCTTTAAAAACAGAAGCAAAAAGAGGGTTCAAAGGGATATGGTGAAATTCAAACCTCTGTTGTTCCGCAAGGGTTGCTTTCCAGCTTAGTTCTCCTAATTATTTCCTGTAAATAAAATATTAACCCGAAGGTGAACCAGTACATCTGTTGTCAAAGTAAACAAGGAAAAATTTGCCAGCTTTGTTGCAGATCTGTAGCTTGAAGGGATAGGTGCCCAGAGTTACTCTTGATACTCCTAGAGTATGCTCTGCACAATTTTGATGTGGCTTCATTGTTCCTCTTCTTTTCTTCAAAAAGAAGCCAGACACTTCTATAGGGTGAGCCATAGCTGGCAGCACTGAGAGATAGCTGGGCGATGGTTCTTTGTGGATGGCTGTAGCCAGGAACATAGCATGGGTTGCAGGTGCCCAGGGCAGGCCAATGTTGTGCCCCTGGCTAGTCCTTTCACCGGCCAGCATCTAATAATAATAATAATAATAATAATAATAATAACAACAACAAATTTTTATTTATACCCCGTCCTTCCCAGTTTAAAAACCGGGCTCAGGGTGGCTAACAGCAAATATAAAACATTGATTAAAATGCAACTTAAAAACATCATAAAACAGCATAAAATACAACATAAAATGCAGCATCAATATCAATAAAATTCAAAAATTCAGGGGTCATTGGGAGGGAGTGGAGAGAAAGAGAAAAAAAACCCAGTCAGTAGACATTAAATGATCACCAGGGCTAATTGGCCAAGTTGGTCTTACTAGGGCCAGCGAGGAGACCAGGGAGGAATTTAAATGTGGGGTCCCAGAAAGGGTTTCTTCATAGAAGAGGAAAGGGGAAAAGGGAAGAGAGGATCAGGCTAATTCAAACTGAAGGCCAGGCGGAATAGCTCTGTCTTACAGGCCCTGTGGAAGGAGATCAAGTCCTGCAGGGCCCTAGTCTCGTGGGACAGAGCATTCCACCAGGTCGGAGCCATCACTGAAAAAGCCCTGGCCCTGGTGGAGGATAGTCTGGCTTCCTTAGGGCCCTAAGCAATGGAATCTCTCCTTGCAAATTAGCCCCAACCTGGGAACAGAGATAAGGCAGAGAAACGTGGAGCCAGGAGTGCTGCTGTGTTGCCTTGCACTCCTGTCCTTGCAGTGGGGAGCAATGGGCAGCACACATAGCTCTAGCAGTGCTTTCCTCCTCCCTCCCTCTTGGCTGGTCCAGGGGCAAGGCATGCATGGGCATCCTTTTGCCATCCATGAAGAGAAGGAGGTGTTGCTCCAGCCCTGAAGGTCCGGCCCGAGCGTGGCTTGCCTCCCAGTCTTGATGAGGGAGCTTGTTGTGGGGGGTGCCTGGTTGTGCCCCCTCAGAAATTTGCATCTGGGGCCATGGCCTCCCATTGGCTGTAGCTGCTATCAAAATTGCTACAATGATTTCTGAGATCATGGTCTTTCCAACGAGTGGCTACTGTCCAGGTTTGTTAATGGTCTTACTTTAAATGTTGTGAGGATCCTATGCCCTTTAAAAATGTGGGGTTTTTTGGGGGGGGTGGGGGTTATTGGGTTGTTGATTTTATTTTTATTGTGTATTTTGTGGTTTTGTATTTTGATTTTATTCTGTGAACCGCCCTGAGACCTTCAGGTATAGGGCAGTATATAAATTCAATAAACAACAACAACAATAATACAGTCCTTGATGCTTTTGAATTATGGTGCTGAGGGAGACTCTTGAGAGTCCCATGGACTGCAAGAAGATCAAACCTCTCCATTCTGAAGGAAATCAGCCCTGAGTGCTCACTGGAAGGACAGATCCTGAAGCTGAGGCTCCAATACTTTGGCCACCTCATGAGAAGAGAAGGCTCCCTGGAAAAGACCCTGATGTTGGGAAAGATGGAAGGCACCAGGAGAAGGGACGACAGAGGACGAGATGGTTGGACAGTGTTCTCGAAGCTACCAGCATGAGTTTGACCAAACTGCAGGAGGCAGTGGAAGACAGGAATGCCTGGCGGGCTCTGGTCCATGGGGTCACGAAGAGTCAGACATGACTAAACGACTAAACAACAACGGGGAGGGGGGGGGGGAGAACAGGGAATGGGAGCCTGCGCGTATGCAAAAACAGTTCCCAGTCAATCACTTATTACAGTTCTGTTAAGTATTCCCAACCCACTTCACACAGTTTCTCTTGCCTTTCCAATTCCCTTGTGCTAAGTTATTTATAGCAGTGGTTCCCAATTATAGTAGCTAAGTACTGAGGACCCCATTTTTCAAAAAGCCGAACCATGGACCCCCTACTTTTGAAAATTTTCATATCTCTGTGGTACTTTTTGTTATGCAAAGGGTGCCACAGATGCCCTGGGTGGATTATGTGGACCCCCTAGATTCCATGGACCACCAATTGAGAACTACTGATTTGTAGCATTTAGTTTGACTTATGGTTGGGTTTGTTGGGTGCTGTGTCTGTGCCCATATTTTTCTACTTATCTGTCTGATATGTGTCAGGTCTGATATTTCAGAGGGCAGCAGAATGTGTAGAACTTTCTGGCCTATTGAATAGAAAACACAGACAGAAGATCACCTAGGTGTCCACTGGGAAACAAAACAAAAAAACAAAAATTAATTGGAATATTGAAAATGAATGAGGTAATAACAGAACTGACAATGGTTATTATTTTAATGCATGAATAACTAAACAAATAACATTTTAATAAAAGGGCAGACTTACAAAAAGAAACGTTTTGCATAGTTTTAAGGATGTGTGAATTAACATGTAGGTAAGAATATGTATCTTAGTTCAAAAGAAAAAAGACAAAAATGTGATAAGGAAATCGCCTTATAATTATACTGTACTAGAAGCAAAGGAATAAAAAAAAGGGGGGGAGTATATGCTTCCTTAAAACATGGGAGATTGGAAAAGGACAATTATTCATGTATTGCCTCTAGCTTTGATCTATTTATCTCAATTTCATTTCATCCCCTGCACACTCTGTGTGATTTGTTTGTCTTCCTGCAGTGGCTATAATACTCGAGTGTGGAATTCAAAACACACTGCCTTGGGTTTACACTTGCTGTGTACAGCATTCTGTTACCCAGATTGTATGTCTGTTCATGTGCTGACAGGGGTGCCATTGATGGCATATACTGTTACTCGTGTTCTAATTTTGTGCATGTGGTGGTTGCATACACTGGCAGAGGAATAGGGGTGCGGAGAGAGCAGACCGCCCCTGGCACCACAATTCTGTTAGGGTGCCATCGCAGCCCCCCCCGACACATGCTGCACCTCTCCCGCACTGGGTGCCACCCCCACAGGTGGCGTGCTATGCTCCCAGAACGCATGCAACGCCCCTGCGAGCGGCATGCCAAGCCCTTGCGGGGGCGTACCATGCCTGTGGGATGCACGCCATGCCCCTGCCTGCTCTCTACCCCTGGTAGCAGAGCATGCAGATTCGCCACTGGTTGCACAGTCACAGTCATCACTGCGTAGATTTGTAAACCCAAGGTGAGGCAAAGTGTGAGGTGAGACAAAGTTATTGCAAGGTGAGACAAAGTTATTGCTTCTTTGCTGTGCCCTCAGTTCCCTAGTATAGTTCTATCTCAAGTTTTTAACCTCTTATTTAATTTTAAGTCCACTTTAGGAAAGAACCGACGAGCCTAAATCTGTCCCATGTCAGTTTTGCTCTTTGCTCTTTTTTGTGGTCTTCCCAAAAGAAGGCACAATAAAATCTGCATGTTTTGTATTCATTTGGTTAACACTTTCCCCATAAAATGCACATTTTCCAAGGAATTTGCTCCCCTCATAAAATATGCACTTGAATGTATTGTTATGGAAAATGCACATTTTTGGGACTA